CAAAAAGCAGAATTCATGGACCGGCCTCTGTTTGGATGGAGTATGGGTAGTTCTGTCCACTAGGGTTTGGCCAAAATTGGCTGCAGAATTGGTGCAACTAGTCGTCGAATTTTGATTGAAGTCGCTGGTATTTTCCCTTGTATCCAAACACCGTAACAGAAAATGGCATCAGTCTCGGGATGCCAGAAGAAGAGGACACCCTCACCACGAACTCCTCGCAAGCCAGAATCACCACAACCAGCAGTGGCTAAATCCTCCAGACCGAGAGCGCCACTAAGCTCTCCATCATGCGCACTCTCAAATGTAAGCAGAAACAGACGATTGGTAGACAAAATTACACATTTTGGGGGCAGTTTTACTATTTTTTTGTGATATAATCACAGTCTTATTGCTTACTCTTAAGGAAGCCATGTACAAAGATATAATTGTTTCTAAAAGATCTAAATCTGTTGTGTTTAACTCACATTTTTACGTGAACGAAAGTTAAAAAGCTTCTCCAGTCGACCATTAAACTGTGAAAAAAAAACATCAAACAACGGCCAGGTTTTTTTGGTCACTTGGCTCTGTGAGTTTCAACGTTTTACTCTTCTGATTGGAGACTTGGTGATCACCAGTCTGATCCTTCCAATAATCAGAATAAAGAAGTGAAGGTGCTGACCATTAAACTCCTGATCTATGTCAGAAACCCACAGAAAATGGATGTTTCGTTTGTGTAAATAAAGCTGATAAAGTTTGTCACAGCCCCATGTTATTGAGAAAAGTGATTCCACACACTGGGGTAAAGTGGGATTTCGTATTTGGGGATTCGCGGAGAGAGCACTGGAATCAGATCAGTAAACGTGTTGGGATATTGGAATTGGAGTCAAGAGAGAAAAAGTTGGATATGTGTAAAATATAGAGGACTTAAAACCTTGAGTGTTCAGATGTGTTGTTTTGGACTGTGGTGAGCAGCGTACCTTGGGGGGGTTACTGTATGGTTTTTCAAATAGATTGACAGATTGCTTATAGAAAACCTATTGGACACATACTGGACTGTATTCAGTCTTTGAAACAGACTAATCTCTCATTTTCACTCAGTTTTATAACAGAATCAAAATAGAGTTCGCTGTATATTTGCTCTGCGTTTAGCTGTATGTTTCTTATCACAGCTCATAATTTGAGTCAATTCGCTCGCCATATGGTTACCCCAATATAAATGTTTGTCATGTGTTTATAAAAATAGAGTAAACTTAATTGGAATAAAGCAGCGGATGAGGACAGAATTTTAAAATAAACTGTAAGAATAAACTTGAATAAAAATGAAGATATTGAAACAGAGATCAATACTATAGAAAGTTATACAATTGAAAGTGAAAGAAAATGACACCATCTCATACAAAACTCATAAAATACTATACAAATAAAAAAAATCAATATAATAGGTATGGTGCAGTACAAAAATGCGTGGTTCATTTCAATTTACAATTTAAAATATGATACAAAATACAATAAAACAAGATACAACACCACACCAATATGACAGGATGTATGACTATATGATACAATTTAATACAGTTTCAAACAGTATGATAAAATCCTTCAACAGCCATCAGGCTTTATAACTTTTATGTAAATAATAGATAACTTCTACAGACATATAGACATATCATGTGAGATACCAGACAATTGAATTTCCGTTCGGGGATCAATCAAGTTCTTCTTCTCCCTCTTCTTTACAACTTAGTTTTTTCAAATGAGAATTTTTTCTTTGGTTTGAATGCAGCGCACTTTCAAGAGCCTCCACAGTAGAAGTGAAAAAAGTACTTAATGAAACAATAAATACAAATTTATGTGATGCAGAATGATCAGAATGAGAGAATAGATTGAAAACCATGTGATATGGTAGGATAAGTGGTGATAGTACACATTGCAATATGATACAACACCAAAGGATTCAATATGATACAAGACAATACAGTAGAATACAGTAGAATACAATATGATACAATTTCATAAGATGCGATATGGTACAAAATGATACAACATGATACATTCTGATACAATATAAAATGATAAGATATGATATAATACCATTTAATATGATACAATATGATACTATGCAATACAATATAATACAATGTGATATAATGTGAACAGATACAGTGCAATATGATAAAATACGATGTGTTACGATACCTCTGTTTGTGATTTTTCTTGATATACGAATGCTGCAGTTATTAGTTTCACTCAACCTAGAATCAGGTGAGGCTATTTTTAGAGTCAGATAACCCAAAATTTTAATCAAGTGATTTATGTGAAAGTTTGTACCGGTATTTCACAGCTTTAAAATTTTTAACTCTACCGATTGACCGTATGGTATCCAAAATTTTCGCTTTAATAAGACAGAGTTTTTTCTAACTTCAACTCATTTGTGGCTTTTTTGATATAGATTAATATAGAAAAGGTGAGTATGATATTTGTGTATTAGAAGCGAATGTTTTCCTTTATGCTCATTTTTATTATGAGAAGAGATGAAGCTGTTCTGCTTGTGTGTATGAAAAAGTGAGTGGGAGATAATAAGTGTGTGTGTGTGTGTGTGTGTTTTCATGTGTGTGGCGCCTCTGATGGATCAGTGATTAAATAAATAATGCTAACCTTTCCTGTAACCTTTCCCCCCCTCCCCAGCCCCCGTCTGACCTTACAAGACCCACGCACATTAAAGACTCCTTTTTCTCCTTCATCTCCTCGTTCTTCATCTCCACACATCTACATAAAATCCCTCACTCTTTCTCCGCTCCTCCCTCATCGCTGCTCCGTTCGCTTCCTTTGCTTCCCTTCACGTTCGCCAGTTAAAAAAAAAACACTTCCTGTCTCTAATCTAGTTTCTACTTTCGTTTCTGTTCCTCCAGTCGCGCCCCCGAACCCCCGTGAAGCTAAAAGAGGTTCAACCATTTCCTTCTCTTAGCATTAATCTGTATCCGTTAGTGTGATCTTTAAGATCTGCAGGTTCAAACGGCTGCTCTCACCACACCCCGCCACTGAACTCACCATGAGCTTGCCGAGACGCCGCGACGAGCGCCAAAGTGTGTGCGCGAGTGTGTGTGCGACTCCCTGATCTCCCGCTCTAATACCCTGAGGACCTTTGGTTCCTTGACGGTGGGAGGTCCTGAGCAAGCAACCCACACAAACACACACTTAAACGCACATCTTCAGAGGATATCAAAGATTAGACATCAATCGTTCTCACCTCTTGAAGTCTTGAAGAACGTGCACCTCATGTGAAAGGTCAGCGAACGCTTGGAGACGACATAATCAATATTCAATGATAGGGGGGATAAAAACGGAAGGAAGTGAAGGTAAATAAACTTAAGTGTGTCATAGAGTTTGAGTCCGACAGAGCTCCTTAAAGGTCCAGTGGGGGGTTTTAGCTGAAAATGTTCTTGTAACAGCAAAATTTTAACACGTGGAAACACACCTAGACAGTATCTTCACGTGATTAATAAGCCTTGTACTTCTGCCTTATTTTTGGCTGCTCATAGACAGCTTGTGGGTGCTACTTTTTACACAGCTTGTCATGTTTGGATAAGAAACAGAGGAGAGGTGTACCGTACCGGTAATCATGACTATTTCAAGCAAATATTGGATTTTTTTGTTGTTTGAAATGTTGTATTTAGCTTGTGTCTTTGAGTCTTCTTAGGAGGTCTTGATAGATGGATTTAGCTAAGGCACAAATTCAGCTAGCGTTAGACTTCACAGCGATAGCAGATCCACTTAAAAGGATATTCCGGCGTAAAATTAATTTAGGGTCAAACACATCGTAACACCGAGTTAGATGCCCCGTCGAGAGATGAATGTTGCCGACCGCTTGCTTCTCTAGTTATACCAACTTTAGTAAGGACCGCACGATAGCAATACACAGCTGTCTGAGGAGCCAACAAACCTCAACCAAAACGCCACTCTATAGCCACAAATAATGCTCAGAACAGCACCTAACTTCATCAACAGGACATATAGGGTCCCAGCCATAGTACTAGCCACCAGACATCTTTTTAACTTTGACTAATTTCTTTAGCAAAGAGACTAAACACAACTCACCTACTCTCTTCCAGCAGCCGCTTGTTTGTAGCGAGACCTCAGGCCAGTCTATAACAGACTGCAGCGGGGTGACGCAGCTCAAGGAAGAACATTTATGATCATTTCCTTGAAGTAATAATCACCATATTAATCATTTTGCACTGCAGACATGGTAGTTCTTCCGCCTTAGTTTCTCGGTCTGATTGCATTTCCATGAAGAAATGATCATAAATGTTCTTCCTTGAGCTGCGTCACCCTGCTGTAGTCTGTAACGGACCCGCCCGAGGTCTCGCTACAAACAATCGGCTGCTGGAAGAGAGTAGGTGAGTTGTGTTTAGTCTCTTTGCTAAAGAAATCAGACAAAGCTAAAAAGATGTTTGGTGGCTAGTACTATGTCTGTGACCCTATATGTCCTGTTGATGAAGTTAGGTGCTGTTCTGAGCATTATTTGTGGCTATAGAGTGGTGGTTGAGATTTGTTTATGGCTCCTCAGACAGCTGTGTATTGCTATCATGCAGTCGTTACTAAAGTTGGTAGAACTAGAGAAGCAAGCGGTCGGCAACACTAATTTCTCGAGGGGGTGTCTGACTCGCTGTTGCGGTGTGTTTGACCCTAAATTAGTTTTAATCCCTTTAATAGATGGAACAGTCCAAGGTTTAGGCGAGGCACAAATCCAGCTGACGTTAGACTTTACAGCGACAGCAGATCCACTTTATAGGTCTCTTTTTCGGCCTGTAAACCCTCCACATATCCTCCGTTTTCCATGAGGCCTCCATAACTTTTTAAATTTTGCAGACGTGACAATAATAGCCGACTTTCTCTCTGGTCCTGTTGTGCTGAACTTTGCTTGGCCCGGACTGCTGAGTAACTGATTGAGATAGGAGCAGGGAGGCTTATCTCTGAGCGCTTGGTGTTTGGATACGTATGATGTCAGACCAGTTCTCATAATGCTTTCTAGGCTGCGTGCGCAGATAAGCTCTGGGATCTGGAGAAGGTAGAGACATATGCAGGTAGCAAACAAGACACAATTGAAATTGGAGCAAGAGAAAGGGGCGGCTTTGTGTTTGTTGAAGTGTGTGGTTTGTGTTCTTGCGAGTGTGTTTGCGAGCCTACTTTTACTCCCTGAGCAGTGACCGGAGCAGCGAGCCTCCCCGTCCAAGCACTTGGAAACCGGAGCGAGGCGAGGAGGAAAGAGAAGAGGATGGGATGGGAAAGAAAGGGGAGCGGTGCGATGGGGGAAAAAGAAAAAGGATGGAGCGCAAAGAAAGGAAGGAGAGAAGAAGAGCGGACGCAGACAGAGAGAGGGAGAGAGAGGGAGACGGACGGACAGAGCGGCAGCACATGGAACGGCAACAAAACGGGAAAAAAGAACTGACGAATGAGTGGAACCGAACGAAAGGAGGAGAAGTGTTGGATTGAGGGATGAGAGGGAAGGCGAGGCCACCTCTTCTTCTCCCTCTCCTCCGCTCGTCCCTCCTCTTCCCCCCGTGAGAATGCAGCGCTCTCGCACGTGTGTGTGTGTGTGTTGTCCTCCTCGTCAGATCTGCCTCGCTTTCATTCGCACACAAAGACGGGACGTAGACGTACCTGGCACAGGGGGACGTGAAGGAGCTGGCAGAGGTGTGTGTGTGTGTGTGTGTGTGTGTGTGTGCGTGTGTGAAAGAGAGAGAGAGAGAAAAACAGATTAAGAGCTCACCTGCCTGGCAGACACGAGGGCCTGTCTGTCTGAGATGTCCCACTTAACACACTTAACCCACTCAACACCAGCGCAGGATCTTCCTCTTCTGTCCTCCTTTCTTCCCCTAAGCTGCGTTCAAACACTCTCACATTCATAAACACTCTGCATCTGCTTGGCTCGCTCTGACATTTCTCTGTTTCATGTAACAATGGGGAGATATTTCAAAAGAGGGGGAACTTTTTTTTTTTTACTTTATGCCTGAGTGAAAATTTCTACCAATTACAAGATACAAAATCCGGCGGTACAGCAAAAGTTAAGAATAAACTTGATGTGCAAGCAGGTTGTTATTTTAAACACGTAACAAACTCTGCGTCAAGATTATTGTTTTAGGGTTACTTGAAAGAGTGTTATACCGCACAGTTGGTTTCTGCTGTCCATGTGAACATTATCTTGCTTGCACAGGTTATTATCTTGTGCACATGTGAAGATAATCCTGCTAACAAGTATTAGCTTGTGGACTAGTGTTGTTAACGTTTCGTTCAAAAGAACGGAACAGCTGAGTGAACGACGTGAATGGAATCACCCCGAGACCTGATTTGTTCCTTTCTCAGTTCAGTTGAGCTCAGCCGCCCGCGAGCCTGGCATGCTAGACGCAAATTTTTTTCGGGAGTAGAACTGCCGCCTTTGACTCTTTGGCGAACAACACACAGCCAGCCAGCAAGTAAGCTGGCATGGAAGAGTCTTGTGATTTGCTCACAGCAAATGAACGATATATATCAATCAGACTGTGGACAAAACGAACGACTTCGGAATGACTTGATGCAGGCAGAAGAGGGAGGGGCGTAGCGTCGTTCACGAACTGCTGAGCACCGGTTCGTTCACTGAGGCTCTTCACTTTTCCACGATGTAAAAGAACGATGACTCGTGCTCATTTAGGACTTGGCGAATGAACGACACGTGCCACCATCCAAGTAAATTATCTTGTGAGCACAGAGTACTATCTTACTATCTTAGTATCGACATCATCCCATGTGCACAGGTTACATTTTATGATCTTGCACGCACCCAAATTAGCATTATCTTTAATGCATAGATTATTATCTTGTGCGCATGAGAAGTTATCTTGCGAGCAGAAGTTCCCATTGCATCCAAACACAAAAGAAAGTTTTTAAATAAAGTTGCGTGCGAAAAGTTTTTTTTCGCTCAGTCTTGCAGCTGTGTACATCCAACGTATAAACAAGGTGCATCTAATTATCTTGTCCGCACAAGATGGAAATGGTCATGACTTTAGACTTTAAAAACCGCTCAAATTGGCTGTCCCATGTTTTGTTAGTGAGTGTGCAAACTTGTTGGGCTGCTCCATTGAGTCAAGATGAAAAGATGAAACTGACCTTTCAAAATAAAAGTCATTTTTCCTTGTTTGATGTGCAGATAATCCTCCTTTCTAAAACCGTCCAAAAACAAAAGTCTAATTAAATCCCGGCAGCTGCAGCCGAATGAGTTTTGACGCCTGCGTGAAAATGTGTCCATGCTAAAGAAACTGGAGGGGTCTGCAGTGCGACACAAACAAACAATAAACAAGGAGGCAAACAAATTGACGCACACACTGACTCGAACACAGACAGGCGCGGTTATCGGCGCGCTGCAATTAGCTTGTTTTAAAGGAAACAAATAACAGTAATTTCAACAGAACAGCATCCATAACAATTCACCCCTGGAGGGGATCAGCTATTTCAACTCACACACACTCACACACACTCACTCACACGCGTACATACACAGCCGGGTGTGTGCTAGCAGTCATATTCAAATATAACAGACACACACTCGCACACACACACCTCCATTAAGTGTACTTGAGAGCGGCAGAGAGGGTCAGCTCAGTGTCTGAGTTATTACGCTACTTTGTTCTGCCTCAGTGGGACGGCGACACACACACACTCACACACACAAACACACACGTACGCAAACACAAAGAATTATTATCACCTATCAACACTCAAGGTGCAAATATAAAAGGCTTGCTTTGATAATGGATTGAAAGAGATGAATAAAAGAATAGATAAAAAGATAGCTGGAGAGGAAAAAAAAACGCCTGGTTGTGTTTTTTTTTTTTTCTTTGCAGAAGTTTGCAGCTGGGAGCGAAAAAACCGCCCTCTGTCCCTCCCTCCCTCTTTATGTCCCCTCCACCCCACCTCTCTGTCCATCTCTCCATCCCTTCCCCTCTGTCTGCTCCGACAACAATGGCGTGAAAACATCTGCGGCGACCAGGTAATTACAGCCGAGCCAAAACAGCGGGCAGCGCGGCGAGGACCAGCTCCGGCACCCCGCAATTAGCCCTGCATCTACGCTTCCCTCCTCCTCTTCCTCCTCCCTTCTCCCCTCCTCCTCCTCCCTCCTCCTCGCTCTGACCAGTGTGTTATCTCTGTGAAGAGGTGCAGAGGAAAGGGGATGGGGGGGAAGCAGATTTGAGAGAAGAGTCTGCAAAAGTAAGAGCTGCTCCAAGTCTGGGTCGACCCCAACTGAACAGCTTAGAGAAACAAAGAGGTTTAAGACTTCTGGACTAGAAGAGGATTTTAAAGGAGCCTATAGAGACTTTATTCTGGGTCCCAGATGGGTACGAGAGCACTGACCAAACTTTTAAGAGCTGAAATTGGAGTTTAAAGTTTTATAAAACAGACTGAAATTAAAACTGGTGCCTCGTTATGACCCACAAAAGCATCAGAAACAAGAATTGGCGGTTTCTTTAGTGCAGTTTAGTTAACTTCTTTATTTTAGCTTCATCCGTCGTGATTCAAAGTCTCGAAAATAGTACTCTGATTCACTCATACAGGGAGGTGATATTTTAAGTCTTTGTGCATAACTTTTAACTTGTCGACCAAACCATCTGGAACAGAGCCGGCCCAAGGCATAAGCGAACAAAGCGCCTGTTTAGTTTGGGCTTAGGGCCCCGCGGCCAATAGGGGGCCCCCAAGAGCAATCAAAATAAAAAAAAATGTGTATATATATATATATATGTATATATGTATATATACAGTACAGTCCAAAAGTTTGGACACACTATCTCATTCAATGCATTTTCTTTATTCTCATTACTATTTTAATTGTAGATTCTCAGTAAAGGCATCAAAACTATGAATGAACACGTGGAATCATGTGCTAAAGAAAAAAGTGTGAAATAACTGAAAACATGTTTTATAATTTAGATTCCTCAGAATAGTGACCCTTTGCTTTTTTGATAGCGCTGCAAACTTTTGCTGTTCTTTCAATGAGCTTCATGAGGTAGTCATGAAATGGTTTTTACTTCACAGGTGTGCCTTGTCCGGGTTACTTCATGACTAACAGAGTCAGTCACTAAGTACTTCTGTCCTCAAGAGCAAAGGGTGGCTATTTTAAAGAAACTAGCATATAAAACATGTTTTCAGTTATTTCACACTTTTTTATAAGTACAAAATTCCACATGTGTTCATTCATAGTTTTGATGCCTTCATTGATAATCTACAATGTAAATAGTCATATAAAAAAATAAAGAAAAGACATTGAATGAGAAGGTGTGTCCAAACTTTTGGCCTGTACTGTATATACATATATATATATATATATAATTTATTTTTATTTTTTGCATGTATGAGTAATACTTTCTGTATGATCAAATATACCGTATTTTTCGCACAGTCAGATAACTCAAACTTTATTTAACTCATTCAATAACTCTGCGAGGTTACGGTAGCTGCAGTGCTCCGACGAGCCATCAGGCTATGCGACTTTGTAGCTTACCGAAGTCGTAATAAAACATTTTGACACATTTTTGAGCGCTGTGTACCAGATAAAATCGGTTTGAGGTCAGTAAGCACAACCAGAATTCGTACATAAGCCGCACCTGATTATGAGGCGCACTGAGGATTTTTGAGAAAATTAAAGGATTTTAAGTGCGCCTTACAGTGCGAAAAATACGGTATATTATTGTAAATTTAAAATAAAGTAAAAACATTTTCGTGCTGCTGCTGATGTAGGCCCATGATTCCTACTGCCAATATGTTAAAGCTCTGCTACCGTTATGTGCCTCCTGCTGTGAAATGTGCACTGAGCATCCAGAGCGCAGGTAGTTTGGGGCAAAACAATGTCGCAAAAAAGGACAAAGAAAAGAAAGAGGAAGAAGAGAAAAAAACGCCAAGATAAAAGTATGTTTGCATGTCATGGAATGTTAAAAAGATTTGTGAAGGTGTGTGAATGATCAACAATCAATATTATTGGCAGAAATAGAGGGCCCCAAAATCAGATTTTGCTTAGGGCCCCACTGAGGCTTGGGCCGTCTCTGATCTGGAACTTTTTTAACTGAAATGTGCCGTTCAAAGACGAGACAAGGCAAAGTTTCTCGAAAGGCCTGAGGGACACACCGACTATTGAGAGAAGACGTTTAAAAACACTTAAAATGATCAGATTTTATCCTGAATTTTAAGTAGATGCTGCCATAGTATATATATATTTTTGTACCTTGACATTCATAGAGCAGGAATAAAATTGAACGTTTTCTTCGTCTTTGTACGAAAAGTCGAACTGATGGTATTGATTCTCAGTTCTACTAAAAACTATCACTCCTGTTCCTATTCAATCTTCAGTTTGGTGATTTTCGACAAGTCAAACACACATTCCCGTCTGGTTTTATTTGATTGTAGCATCTGAATCTATTTTTCGAATCAGTCCCAGATCTGATTTCACCATGAAACAGGCAGATAAATAA